TGCCAATAATAAGTGTTTATCCAAACACCTTTTTATGACTAAGCGGCATTCTCCGCCATTCCAGTCGCTTCCAGTGCATTAGCGGCAGACATTCCGTTATATTCGAGACGAGGGCCGGCTGTTTCCACACGTCAGCTTTGCTTCGATCACGAATCGGTTGCGTGCTTAGACAGAGTCGGACTTCATGACAGTACTTAAAATAGCAAAGCAAAAACCTTCTCGGTGCCATAGCATACGTTATGGTCAATGTGAGAGAAAAGAGCTTGGCCTATGGACAGCATGCGCCAGCTCTTTTGATGCGGGATAAAAGAAATACAGCTCTACAAAAAATGGCCAATGCAAGCGGGATAGCCCGCCTCCGCCTCAACTAGTACCAACTTTTTCATCCACAGATTACTCCTGGTACTATATTCTCAAACTTAGCAGAGTGCTCCTACACTCACTGCTCCATCACCAGTGTTGACAGATGACCAAAATTAAATTGTACCATGGTGCAGAAATCGTCGTTTTTTCATGATTTTATCGTACAAACTAACCTTACTAGTGTGACGCTATCGAAGGCTAGTTAATTTAAGAGTTTATGGGGTTAGGGTTGGGGTAATTTGATAATAATTTTATTAAATAAAGATATAAAAAAATAATACTTTTCTTGTTTCAAAAACAATTTTTTTCTTGTAACCCTTTCTGACTTTGATCTTCCAATTATTTTTGTCTATACATTTTTAAAGTTGTGGTGAATTTCATTTCATCTGTACGTGTGAAACTTACACATCCATTACCCAAAGAATTCCCGCACTTTCCTTATGTAAAGTGACGATCGGTTAAATTTTCTGAAACTTTGGAATGTTATTGTACTCAACCTAGTTACCAAAAGTATCAATATGCTCAACTCAATCCTATGACTAGTTTTTGATATACAGGGCGGTAAAGTTGAAAATTACTTAAATTTTCGATTTTTTTTTTTAATTATGAGTTATAATGAATTTCTATTGCATACACACGTTTACTATATGTTTTATTATCACATTAGAACTTATGTACAATTAAAAATATTTTTATTTACAATATACGACTAATTAGTGAGGCCCTTTCTATAGGGCCTCAGTATTGCATTTGTGCAGACGAAAAAATTTTCTTACTCTCATTTTTTAAAACTTTTTTTTATGTTTCCGATCATTCTGAATACGAAAAGGCAAAAAAAAAATTTAGTCTGGTCATTTGTGTGTATGTATGCCGGCACAATAACTCTAAAACGAAAGTTCTGATTGACCTACGGTTTTGATTTTCTTGAAAAATTACTTCTAACTTAGAACCCTATTGATTTTCAGAATTTTTGGTTCATCCTAACTACTTTATTATCAATTTTCTTAAAATCCGCCTATGCAATTTTTATGTGACAATTTTAGGAATTCCAATTATTTCTAACGTCAACATTCCATAAATTGCAAACATTCTCTAACGGCCTGTCAAACAACAGCTGTTGATAGTAAAGGTGAAATTTCTAAGGCGGGTTGCGACTTTCATACTTGCAACCATAGCCATTTTGAAGGCTATTTTTATTCGAAATTAGTCGCCAAGCCTGCCAATTTAAGAAAAATATAAGCAGTTTCTTAAAAATGACTTTTTTATGGTGGTGCTAACTTAAGCGTACTACTGTTTCGCCTCTTGCCACAAAAACACCTTCGGCAAATTTACTGGCTCTCTGTCAGAACCCCCATACAATTATTAACCGGCTATTTTATTTTGCAAAAAGCAGAATAATGCTTGGCTGTGCCTGTAAAGTATCAAGATGTCAACTGTGATGTGTGAATGGCTCTTAAATGTCAAATTATTTAAAAATGTATGCTTCTTTTGATATTTATTGCAAATAATTTATAGTCTATCTCAATTCAGGCTTTCCATAAATAAAGGTACAGCAAGACAAATAATATAATGTACTTATACAAAGCACTTTTTTATTATATAAAAGAGAGATAGGATATAATGCTGGTTTTTGTAGACAATTTTAATTATACAGTTTTAGATTACATATTCAACCAGCGAATTGTAAATAATAATTAGTAAACTCCTAGTCATAGATTTTCTTAATTCATAAAATTTAAAAATGAATCTTTTTACCTTGGGATTTTAATGACGTAATGTGATCAACCCATTTCAAATTTTAATCAGTTATGATACCGAGGTATTTTGTTGTGTTTTTCATTTTAATTATAAAGTTGTCATTTATTTGTATGTTGAAAGAAGGGCTTTGTAAATTACATTGCTCTCTATGGATCTACTTTAACACAAAAATAGTTCTGTGGCTATAAGTTGTTATAACCTATCGTCGCAAAACTATTAATAATTTGAACATAGTAAGTAGTAAAACGAGGTAAAACGAGGGGTAAAATAACAATAAATTAAGGGAAATACTTAAAAAGGGCAGGTGTAAAAAGTACTATCACAAGAAAGTATATCCGTTCTGTTTATTTATCAAGTATTGTTTGAAGTTACTTTTGAATACATTTATTGTTTTTATTTAATTTCTGTAGGCAGTCTATTAAATTTTTTAAACCTTTAATAAGTATTGTATTTTGGGAACTTTTAGTGATGGCTTACCGTACATGAAAGTCAGATTGGCTTCTTGTATTATAGTTATGATATTGTGAATTATATTGATTTTTTTCTGATGCGATGGATTTATGTCATTTTTATTTTATAAATAAATATCAGTCATGTACTGAACATAATTCTGAACTGAAAGCCAATTTATTTTTTTTGATATAGTTGCAATACTTATCCTTCTATCCTGTATTACTAGAATATAAATAGGCAAAGTAGGGAGCCCAAATATTTTACATGAGCAGGCCTGAAGAGGTAAAGGGGCCAATTATTATTGGAAAAATGGCTCGAACAAGTTTTTAAACCCTAATCAAAAGGCGATATAGAAGGGTTTTAAAAATCAAGGCTTGTGAAAATCATCACATTATTTAACCTAAGTAATGCGAATACTTCACAAAAAAATTCAATGTCAAATTCGCTCTTTCGTTCCAAGTTAAATCAGTTGTACTAAATTGCCTACTAGGTGTAAGTGTATTTACATTTACTAATATAATTTTATCGTGAGCGGGAATTAAGAAAGCAAGGCTCTTTTCTAATTCATGAAAAGCAACTTTCAAATTTTCTTTCGGTGGTCGATACATTACCCCTAAACAATATTTATTATTTCCAAATTTAAAACTAACCCATAACTTTTCCAAAGTGTTTGTTATTTTATGTATTAAGACCGAACATCGAAAATTATTTGAGATATATAACCCGATACCACCTCCAATTTTATTTATTCTCTCGTACGCAAATTGTTGAATAGAAATTGTACTTGTAAAGATATTCGGTTTTAACCATGTTTCTGTAAGAAAAAAAATATGGATTTCCTTATTTAAAATAAAATCTTTTAATTGCTGTAACTTATGTTTAAATATGCTATTTCAAAATTATTCATTTATTGAAATAATCACACACTACAAAAAATATTCAATTTAAATGATAATAAAATTTGGTTAATATAATTTTTTGGAGTTGATTTGCTTTAGATTACAGTTCAAGTTTAATTAAATTTTTCCTTTATTTCCACTTCTTGTATTATTAAAATTAGATATGGGGTATTGTTGGTTTTTGTTTGTTTTTGTCGGTTTCAAGGTTAGAGTTCTCTTTCGCCGGTGACTGGTTTATTATTAAATGGGTATATTCATTGCGTTCGGTTTGCCACGTTCCTTTAACTCCTTTAACACTTTTAACTCCAAACGACTCTTTTAGCGTTCGGTTTAGTCCGATTAGTGACAGTTTAACACGCTTAAATGTCATTTAAAAGCACCCTAAAATTTGTCCCGCTCCAGCCCCTGACTGACCGAACTCGCCTATGGTAGGTGTTGTCAATTTTAACTACATTCAATTATTGCCAGCGTTGGTGAACCTAGTAAATAGTTTAATGCAGTAGGGTAGCACTTGTATTAGACCTTGAAATGACACAATCGAAACATCATGTATCATGCAAAATATTATATCTAGGATGTTAGGTTAGAATGAAAATATACAAATACAGATTGCAGCCGTCAATTAAGAATTCGCCAGATCTTTTTGTAAAGAATCCTTGAATTGTGAGGTTGAGGTGGTATTATAAAGATCACCTACTTTTGCATCTGCTGTGAAAGGGTCACTATATTAAAGTAGTCGCTAGCTGTAAGTGAATGTTTTTTAGACATAAGTAAAAATGAACTAAAGGTAAATATATTTGATTTTGTAGTTACTAAAGCAGTTTGAGCAAGATTATTCATTTATCGTAGGCAAGCAAGTGCCGAAGTTATAGTTAACTTCTTACTAGAGGTTAATAGAGAACCCTATTTTAGGAAATTTGTTTACTTGTAACAGAAATGCGTCTTTGGAGAAATACTTTTACTTATGGTTCTTGATTTATGTTTTGCGAAAATTAAAAAAGTAATAGTATTTTTTAAGTAAATAATTTATTTGGCACTTTTTCTTTGTATTATTTCATGTTTAGCAGTTTTAATTTCGAGTCATTTATATGTAACAAAAAAATATTTCATTTTTCGATTTAAGCATCGACAACTTCGCTTGAAGCTGTTCGATTCTAAGAAGGACCTTTAAATTAATATGGCCATTCATCTCTTTTTTGATGTTCTTTGTCAAATTTCTCATATCGTATGACCACTGTGGAGCCACCTTAATAAAATGTATACATATTCTGCAAATATTTATGGAAATTTCCAATGGGAATTCACCTATTTTTTTTTTTATTTTTGAAATTGATAGATAATTTTTTCATATACGTGTAGGTTTCATGCATAGTTTTTTTAATTCATACCCGATTTCATGAACAAATAAATTTACGTTTATTTGCAGTTTTTTATTCTTTAAAGCATAACATTTCTATTTTGATATGTGGCAACGTAGATAACTTGTTTTGATTTATAAGTAATAAAATAAAAAATAAATAATTTCAGGTGCCTCTGGTGTTGGACATCAAGAAGAATTGGGATATTTTTGGCATAATGCAACTGCTGATAACCTAAACCGATTTCCCAAAGAAGATATTTTGACCCATGAGCGGGTTATGGACTTGTGGTCACAATTTATTAAACATTTGTAAGTAACTTTATACAATTTGTTAATATATTTTATAGCGTTAAATTTTTGAAAATATTTTTGGGATGCGTCGCAGTCCAAAACGAATTGTCCTTTTTCCCGATGGTAGGCTAGGATGGGGACCGAGATCAATGGCTTATAAACTCGGTGAAGGCATTTGGACTGTTTTTAGTTAGTTGATAAAGGGGTTTAGCAATTCTGCCAAAGTCTCTGACAAATTTCCGAAAACATAAGCACAGTTCAAAAAATTCCTAAATTCTATTTTGTCTCCTAGTTTCGGCCAATCTCTAACAGCTACAATTCTCTTCAGCTCAGTTTTAATTTCTTCTGTAGAAAGGGTGTATCCCAAAAAATAGGCTTCTGATTGAAACAGTGAACATTTATTGTGATTAAGCCTTAGATTGGCATTTTTTAATCTGTCAAATACTTCACTCAAATTTATTAGATGTTCATCAAAAGTTTTTGATATGATGATTATGTCAACAAGATATATACTAGACAAATTTTTCAGGTTAATAATTTCAGAACTATTTCCATTAATCGTTCAAAGGTAGCTGGGGCGATACAGAGACCAGACGGGAGAACCTGGAATCTGTATAATTCGCTGCCAGTTGAAAAAGCTGTTTTGTCTCGATCGTCAGGGTGTACTTTCACTTGCCAGTATCCGTTCTTTAAGTTTAGCGTGGGGGGAATGGATAGCTGTCTTTTTGCGTTATCTGAATTAATCTTCTATAGTCTACACAGAAACAAGTAGATCCGTCTTTTTTAGTTACTAAGACTGGTACACCCCGTAGATTTTACTGTCTCGAAAACGTCACAAGTGGTCTTGAATTCTTTGACTTTTCTAAATTCTTCGGCTGTCAAATGGTTATAATTTTTAACTAGCCGTTTCACAAAGCGGCGTCAGCTAAATTACTTGTGGTGGATTTCTCCGTAGAGCCGTCTTCGCTCTTAAATTTTCTACCGGTGTACAGAGCTCTATTTTTGTCCTTTCTTTAGTTTTAAATGTCTTTTTGATAAATTGGCAACCCTTACTGGGATCAGCTGATATCTAGCTACCATAATTCCTTCATTTACAGATTCTCACTTTTCACAATGCCTACATGTAAGCCTACATGTAAGCTTCGAAATTTTGGGGTATCTTCTTTCACTAGGACCTTTATCGGTCTTTTCACCCGAATTTAGGACAATTTTCTCGTTTCCAAATACTAAAATCTTATTTTGAAGGTCGATGATAAACTTATTTTGCATAATGTCCATACCAGAGACACACTGATCCTTAATATGAGTCATCAGAAATAAGTGTTCTATCAGGGTATTACCAATCTGCACGGTTGCTGATATCTCACCTAGAACAGAAGTAGTGTGCCCTGTAGCTGTTTCTAGAACTAAGCTTCTTTAAGTTGGTTGTAAGTGCGAATTTTGGGTCCCTCTGTTACAACGACGCCTGCCCCGTAGTGTTGACCTTTATTCGTTTCCCTGATAAATGCTAGAAAGCCGGCTAAGTGTGGATGACCGGCTCCTCCGGGAGGCATATCTGTTGTAATTATTTTTTGTTGGATTTCATGAAGGGCTTCGGGAAGTTGACTTAGGTGAATTTCTGATATCATTCTCTAATTCTTGATTCATAGAACGAGCCCTGCTTTGACAAAAGATAGAGGATAGAATTTTGCGCCAGAAGATCTAGATATAACTTTTGCTGCTTCGTATTCCTGGGCTGCAATCAGTGTCTCACTTAACGTCTTGTAGTGTTGCAGCCAAAGAGCCTGCTGCCTGTCCACATCTTGTAGACCATCAACAAATGCCTGCATGCCGATTTGTCCTAAGAAATCTTTGGGCGCCTGTGGATAGGCCAGATACAGCATTCGTTTTATATCGGCTTCGATTTCTTGTAGACTCTCATTGTGTTTCCGACTATGAGCTTTTAGCTGGCTTTGGAATACTTGTTTCAAATGCTGTTGGCAATATCTTATTTCCAAAGCTTGAACGAGAGATGAATCCATCTGATATTGAGAAATAAGCTATAAAAGCTATTTCCTGTCTGTTATCAGAATAATAAATAATTTAGCTGTAAATATAGTTACTTGTTACTTTAGATTGTGACAGTAATTTGTTATTAAATTTAAATAGATTTTGATATTTTTAATGATTGAAAAGCAGTGAGATAAGAATAACGTGTGCGTTAATAAACTTCTTATCTCACGCAAAATAAGTGGAATAAGAAGTTCTTATCTCACGGGCGTAGATAAAATATGTTAGGTTTATTTTAATGTCATTAGTTTATTTCTATAAGGCAGCTTTGTTTGTTTTGCATTATAATTTTGTATTTAGAGCAAGAATCCAGATTTGTTGGAAAAGGTAAAAATAGGTAAACAACATAATATGTGATTTTATCCACTTCCAAATACTGAAACTATGTCATATCTGGTTTTGAATATGCGTACTATATACAGTATATTCCTAAAGGATAGTTATTCACATTTATCATTTTGTCGATCGTATAGAAATGTTAAGAGGACCAAAAATAGACATACGGCAAAAATTTACCGAATTAATATTCTAAGAATATTTTATCTTTTGATAATTTTTGAAAATTCGCTTTTTTCAAAGATACAGGATGAAAAGTTTATCCTACAAAAACAGTTTCTTGTTTTTATTCCCATTCCGTTTCCGTTTCCGTTTCCGTTTCCGTTTTCGTTTTCGTTTCCGTTTCCGTTTCCGTTTCCGTTTCCGTTTCCGTTTCCGTTTCCGTTTCCGTTTCCGTTTCCGTTTCCGTTTCCGTTTCCGTTTCCGTTTCCGTTTCCGTTTCCGTTTCCGTTTCCGTTTCCGTTTCCGTTTCCGTTTCCGTTTCCGTTTCCGTTTCCGTTTCCGTTTCCGTTTCCGTTTCCGTTTCCGTTTCCGTTTCCGTTTCCGTTTCCGTTTCCGTTTCCGTTTCCGTTTCCGTTTCCGTTTCCGTTTCCGTTTCCGTTTCCGTTTCCGTTTCCGTTTCCGTTTCCGTTTCCGTTTCCGTTTCCGTTTCCGTTTCCGTTTCCGTTTCCGTTTCCGTTTCCGTTTCCGTTTCCGTTTCCGTTTCCGTTTCCGTTTCCGTTTCCGTTTCCGTTTCCGTTTCCGTTTCCGTTTCCGTTTCCGTTTCCGTTTCCGTTTCCGTTTCCGTTTCCGTTTCCGTTCCGTTTCCGTTCCCGTTCCCGTTCCCGTTCCCGTTCCCGTTCCCGTTTCCGTTCCCGTTTCCGTTTCCGTTTCCGTTTCCGTTTATGTTTCCGTTTATGTTTCCGTTTATGTTTCCGTTTATGTTTCCGTTTCCGTTTCCGTTTCCGTTTCCGTTTCCGTTTCCGTTTCCGTTTCCGTTTCCGTTTCCGTTTCCGTTTCCGTTTCCGTTTCCGTTTCCGTTTCCGTTTCCGTTTCCGTTTCCGTTTCCGTTTCCGTTTCCGTTTCCGTTGCCGTTGCCGTTGCCGTTGCCGTTGCCGTTGCCGTTGCCGTTGCCGTTGCCGTTGCCGTTTCCGTTTCTGTTGCCGTTTCTCGTTTCTCGTTTCCGTTTCTCGTTTCCGTTTCTCGTTTCCGTTTCTCGTTTCCGTTTCTCGTTTCCGTTTCTCGTTTCCGTTTCTCGTTTCCGTTTCTCGTTTCCGTTTCTCGTTTCCGTTTCTCGTTTCCGTTTCTCGTTTCCGTTTCTCGTTTCCGTTTCTCGTTTCCGTTTCTCATTTCCGTTTCTCGTTTCCGTTTCTCGTTTCCGTTTCTCGTTTCCGTTTCTCGTTTTTGTTTCTCGTTTCCGTTTCTCGTTTCCGTTTCGTTTCCGTTTCCGTTTCCGTTTCCGTTTCCGTTTCCGTTTCCGTTTCCGTTTCCGTTTCCGTTTCCGTTTCCGTTTCCGTTTCCGTTTCCGTTTCCGTTTCCGTTTCCGTTTCCGTTTCCGTTTCCGTTTCCGTTTCCGTTGCCGTTGCCGTTGTCGTTGCCGTTGCCGTTGCCGTTGCCGTTGCCGTTTCCGTTTCTGTTGCCGTTTCTCGTTTCTCGTTTCCGTTTCTCGTTTCCGTTTCCCGTTTCCGTTTCTCGTTTCCGTTTCTCGTTTCCGTTTCTCGTTTCCGTTTCTCGTTTCCGTTTCTCGTTTCCGTTTCTCGTTTCCGTTTCTCGTTTCCGTTTCTCGTTTCCGTTTCTCGTTTCCGTTTCTCGTTTCCGTTTCTCGTTTCCGTTTCTCGTTTCCGTTTCTCGTTTCCGTTTCTCGTTTCCGTTTCTCGTTTCCGTTTCTCGTTTCCGTTTCTCGTTTCCGTTTCTCATTTCCGTTTCTCGTTTCCGTTTCTCGTTTCCGTTTCTCGTTTCCGTTTCTCGTTTTTGTTTCTCGTTTCCGTTTCTCGTTTCCGTTTCTCGTTTCCGTTTCTCGTTTCCGTTTCTCGTTTCCGTTTCTCGTTTCCGTTTCTCGTTTCCGTTTCTCGTTTCCGTTTCTCGTTTCCGTTTCTCGTTTCCGTTTCTCGTTTCCGTTTCTCGTTTTCGTTTCTCGTTTCCGTTTCTCGTTTCCGTTTCTCGTTTCCGTTTCTCGTTTCCGTTTCTCGTTTCCGTTTCTCGTTTCCGTTTCTCGTTTCCGTTTCTCGTTTCCGTTTCTCGTTTCCGTTTCTCGTTTCCGTTTCTCGTTTCCGTTTCTCGTTTCCGTTTCTCGTTTCCGTTTCTCGTTTCCGTTTCTCGTTTCTCGTTTCTCGTTTCCGTTTCTCGTTTCCGTTTCTCGTTTCCGTTTCTCGTTTCCGTTTCTCGTTTCCGTTTCTCGTTTCCCTTTCTCGTTTCCCTTTCTCGTTTCCGTTTCTCGTTTCCGTTTCTCGTTTCCGTTTCTCGTTTCCGTTTCTCGTTTCCGTTTCTCGTTTCCGTTTCTCGTTTCCGTTTCTCGTTTCCGTTTCTCGTTTCCGTTTCTCGTTTCCGTTTCTCGTTTCCGTTTCTCGTTTCCGTTTCTCGTTTCCGTTTCTCGTTTCCGTTTCTCGTTTCCGGTTCTCGTTTCCGGTTCTCGTTTCCGGTTCTCGTTTCCGGTTCTCGTTTCCGGTTCTCGTTTCCGGTTCTCGTTTCCGGTTCTCGTTTCCGGTTCTCGTTTCCGGTTCTCGTTTCCGGTTCTCGTTTCCGGTTCTCGTTTCCGGTTCTCGTTTCCGGTTCTCGTTTCCGGTTCTCGTTTCCGGTTCTCGTTTCCGGTTCTCGTTCTCGTTCTCGTTCTCGTTCTCGTTCTCGTTCTCGTTCTCGTTCTCGTTCTCGTTCTCGTTCTCGTTCTCGTTCTCGTTCTCGTTCTCGTTCTCGTTCTCGTTCTCGTTCTCGTTCTCGTTCTCGTTCTCGTTCTCGTTCTCGTTCTCGTTCTCGTTCTCGTTCTCGTTCTCGTTCTCGTTCTCGTTCTCGTTCTCGTTCTCGTTCTCGTTCTCGTTCTCGTTCTCGTTCTCGTTCTCGTTCTCGTTCTCGTTCTCGTTCTCGTTCTCGTTCTCGTTCTCGTTCTCGTTCTCGTTCTCGTTCTCGTTCTCGTTCTCGTTCTCGTTCTCGTTCTCGTTCTCGTTCTCGTTCTCGTTCTCGTTCTCGTTCTCGTTCTCGTTCTCGTTCTCGTTCTCGTTCTCGTTCTCGTTCTCGTTCTCGTTCTCGTTCTCGTTCTCGTTCTCGTTCTCGTTCTCGTTCTCGTTCTCGTTCTCGTTCTCGTTCTCGTTCTCGTTCTCGTTCTCGTTCTCGTTCTCGTTCTCGTTCTCGTTCTCGTTCTCGTTCTCGTTCTCGTTCTCGTTCTCGTTCTCGTTCTCGTTCTCGTTCTCGTTCTCGTTCTCGTTCTCGTTCTCGTTCTCGTTCTCGTTCTCGTTCTCGTTCTCGTTCTCGTTCTCGTTCTCGTTCTCGTTCTCGTTCTCGTTCTCGTTCTCGTTCTCGTTCTCGTTCTCGTTCTCGTTCTCGTTCTCGTTCTCGTTCTCGTTCTCGTTCTCGTTCTCGTTCTCGTTCTCGTTCTCGTTCTCGTTCTCGTTCTCGTTCTCGTTCTCGTTCTCGTTCTCGTTCTCGTTCTCGTTCTCGTTCTCGTTCTCGTTCTCGTTCTCGTTCTCGTTCTCGTTCTCGTTCTCGTTCTCGTTCTCGTTCTCGTTCTCGTTCTCGTTCCCGTTCCCGTTCCCGTTCCCGTTCCCGTTCCCGTTCCCGTTCCCGTTCCCGTTCCCTTTCCCGTTCCCGTTCCCGTTCCCGTTCCCGTTCCCGTTCCCGTTCCCGTTCCCGTTCCCGTTCCCGTTCCCGTTCCCGTTCCCGTTCCCGTTCCCGTTCCCGTTCCCGTTCCCGTTCCCGTTCCCGTTCCCGTTCCCGTTCCCGTTCCCGTTCCCGTTCCCGTTCCCGTTCCCGTTCCAGTTCCCGTTCCCGTTCCCGTTCCCGTTCCCATATCCCTTATGTGAAAACAACCCAAAGAAAAATATAAAAAGCTGAGAAGTGAAGAAAAGAACCTCGAAATTTCGGACTATACGCGTCAGTGCCTCTACCAGTTGGATTATCAATGCACATGGCTTCGACAGTCAAAGAGATAGATTTGAAGTAAATCAGATTCTGACTTTCGTAATGGTGAAGAAAAGTGAAGTGAGAATAGTATATTGTTTCACGTGTGACGAAAATAACATTTTTTGAGCGAGCTTCAAAAATGATTTTCGACGAGTAAAACACTATACTTTTTCTACGAACTCTATTATGTCATGTAGGTACCTACTAAAATGAAAAAAAAACAAACGTTAGCAAATGCTTTATTTTGTGTTAGGAATAACAAAAAATTAACCAACAATTAAATATTTCAGAAATATATTTAAATATTGATTTATTGTTATATTTGAACAATTGTTCAAAATTATGGGGGTATCACACTCAAGCTTTTTATTTATTGAGGTAGATGCCGACATATTTGTTCTACTGTTAAATGTCATTTCAGATGATGATGCGCCATAATCGGATGAACTAGTAATTTCCTTATTTTGTACAGATTGTAAAATTTTGGTTTGTATTTGGTTTTTACTGTTCGTGGATTCATCAACATATCCTTCCGCAACACTACTAGATTTCCATCTACCGTGCTTTTTTAACAGAAGCAAGTCACCTCCTGCATCCACTAATAGCGTTGCGGATGTTCTGCGAAAACAGTGCCCATTGCAATCTTGAGGATTCGGAAGCGTTAAAAACTGAGCAATTTCGTTAGGAATTTTACTGATTTTATTAATTCCAACAACTTGTCTGCTACACTTTCCATTCTGATAGTTAATAAAGAATCTTGAATTAATTTGATCCATGTTTGCGGGACGTAGGCTCATATATTTTTTAGAAAAATCATAAAAGGGTCCAGAAATATGAAAAGAACGCGGAACTTTTGTTTTTGTATTACGGATTTTAACTAACAGAATACTTCCAGTATCCTTTACATCGCTTATTGTTAAATCTTTTAGTTCGTGGCAACTACAAGCGCCAGATAATCCAAAAACTAATGCTACCTACAAATATTAGTAGTTATGTATTAAGTATTTGTTAAAATAAAAATAATAATTCCGTTACCTTTGTTATTAAATATTTATAGTCAGGTGCATTCTTTAGGAAAGTCTTTATGTCTTCAGGTGAAAAATTTTTGGATTTTTGGCTTTTAAAACCATCAGATTTTCTTTTCAAAAGCGAACGTAACTTTGGATATTTACTAATATCGACATCATTTTTTAACAGAGAGTTCTTAGCATCGAATAAATGGACCATAACGTCGACGGTTTAAAATTTGAACATATTTTTCCAAAGTATGCTAGTAGTAGTTTCCGAAAATGATTTCACTTTATTTTTTCTCTCCAGTCCAAAAATTTGATATAAATTTCTTCATATCTCTTTTTTGATTTGGCCGGTAATAAATCTGAAGAGGTTTCTTCAGCTTTAAAAATAATTTCTGGGGGAGTACAATCGCTTTCTGACTCAGACATCATGAAAATGTGTTAAATTTAGGACGAACTGAAACTGACAGTTCTCAAAAGTGATAAAACTTCAAATAAACAAATGAAAACCAGGAAACTAGATGTAGATTGGTTTAATTTGCACTAGTTTTATACATTTTTATTTTATCTTTAATTCATTAAAGTTTAGGTAAAAACGCATATAGAATTTAATGAGCATCTTTTTATTTCATTATTAATAATTATAAGCTGCCAAAATATTATACGAGGCGACTGATATATGAAAATATGTAACAACTTACTTTCGTCAATAGAGACGAAAGTAAACGTTATGGGATTTTTTCTCACTAGTGACGGAAATCAAGTTTTCGCTGAAAGTATCCTGTGGCGAAAGATGTCTTTTTGTAAGAGTTCGTAGAAAAAATGGTTTCAGATATGAATAACTGAAATGCAATTTTGGAAATATGAAAATATATAATTCCCAATTCACCCTACTACTTCACTTTTCTTTTTCATTTCATGTTTACGGCGGACCGTACTCAAAAATATAACACTGGTAAATTAATGAAGCAACCAATAAATGTATCTTAGTGCAATCTGAGATTGTCGTCCATCTGCACAATATTACAAAGGTGGCTTTAAATAGAAATGAGAGAGCTGAGATGGGATTATAATGTGTATGCCACATGCATTAAGGAGGTCCTTTCGTCACCCCTTTCGCCACCAATGTTAAATAAAAAATATTAGATTATGACTAAAATTTATTTTTTTTTCTAATAGTTGAAGTCCTTATTTATCTAATAGTGAACTTTTAACTATACCTTACCATGCAAATTTTTGAGAATTTCTTTTTAAAATGTGAGTTTTGTACAGTGTCTTACGAGAAAGTAAGACCTCAACAACAATTCTCGAATTATACTATTATTTATTGATTAGATAGAGTAGAAAAAACTAAAAATAAGGTTTTTGAAATATTTAGGCTCTGTTTTTTACAATAAAATATATAGGTTACCGTGGAATTTATTGAGAAATTAATATTAAAAAAAAAATTCAAGTAACCTAGTTGAAAATTTTTTGTTATTTTTTAATATTAATTTCTCAATAAATTCCACGGTAACCTATATATTTTATTGTAAAAAACAAAACCTAAATATTTCAAAAACCTTATTTTTAGTTTTTTTTTTACTCTGTCTAATCAATAAATAATAGTATACTTAATTATAATTCGAAAATTGTTGTTGAAGTCTTACTTTCTCGTAAGACACTGTACAAATACTCACATTTTTAAAAAAAAATTCACAAAATTTTGCACGGTAAGATATAGCTAAAAGTTCACTATTAGATAAATAAGGACTTCAACTATTAGAAAAAAATTAATTTTAGTCATAATCTAATATTTTTTATTTAACATTGGTGGCGAAAGGACCTCCTTAATAGCCCAACTGGTAGGGGCGTGGACGTGTAAGGTTCAAGGTTCGATCCCTGGTTTTTATTTTCTTTATTTCTTAGTTTTTTTAATTTGTCTTTGGTTTGTTTTCACTTTAGTGATATGGGAGGTGTGTATTTTTAATAATTTTGTAGAGGGAATCGGGGATAACCACAAAGTTCATTTTTTTATATCTATTGAAGAAATGCATTTATAATTTTATCAATTTTAGGAATCCTACTGTCAATAACTCTGAAATCTTAGGAGATTTGAAATGGCCTAAAGTTACCGAAGAAGACTTCTTATACTTAGATATTAATTCAGAATTATCAGTAAAGAGGGGACCAAAGAAGTATACGGATTGGAATAATATTTATTCAAAATATACAAACGAAAAGTTGGATACGTATTAAAAGTACTATGTACCTATTAAATTAATAAAAACACTACGACAAATTATAAACTGGTATTTTCATTACTCAGTGAAATAGTACAAAGAATTTATAATACAAATACATTCAGAACAACTTAGCAAAAGACAAAATAATAGGTTGATTCTTATAGTTTAAGATTCCGACTTAAGTCGACCTTCCCATTGAAAAAATAGCCTTAGCCAAACAGTTTATCTAAAAATTATTATCTGGAACAGTTAAAAATTATGTATTTGTTATATTTAAATTTTTTATTTGAAACAGTAAACCGTGTAACAATTTCAGTCAAATAGAAATTTATGAAAAGCTGTCCCAAGTTGAATGTTTAACTGATCCAGGTAAATTGGTTTTGTTCATTGCTTTTTTAAGTAAGTCAAGAAGAATTATAGAACAAATGAAAATAAGAAAAGAATTTTGTATAGAAAAAGTATATTAGGAAGAAGGAATGATTTGTGAAATAAAGAAGAAAGAAAATGTGTAGCAAAGTTTAGTGTTAAAAGTGTAGGAGTATAAATGATGTAAGTGTGATAAATAATGCGGTATATAATGAATAATTAAATATTATATTTATTATATTATTATATTTATGAAAATTATTGAATTTTAAAATGAAATAAATGCGGTAATAAAATAATGAATATTGTGAAAATTAAGAAGAGAAAATGTGGAAAATGGAAAGAAGCATATAATATGAAAAAGAAAGAATATTATGAAGAATTAGAGTGGGAATAAGAATGAGCAATAATATACAAAAGAAACAATTAAGAAAGATTACGAGATAATAATACATGTCTGCAATCAAACAAAATGTACTTAAAGCAAAATAAATAAATAATTAAAAAAAAATAATAAAAATAATATTTATTAAAGTATTTGATGAGACTTCAGAATAAATACTAAAAATAAGGATAAAAATTTAGTTTTATTGTTTCTTGTGCTTATAAGTAAATAAACAAATAAAACAAATTTTGGGAATGTTGTTGTGGTATAATTTGTCATGAGAAATTAACAAAGTATATTTTGCACATGGAATATATTGGAATTATGCAGAAAACCCTGTAGGGCAATCTCATTTTGAATCAAGCTTTGAAAGATGGGAGATAGACTTTGGAAAGAAAAAGGTTGTCAATTTTGAAATTTGAAAAATGTCAGAAAATTTAGAGGAGCAATAGTTTTCTAAATTGAAAGAGATTATTAATATAAAAAATAAATAAGCAATCTGTTAAGGTACTTTGTTAAAAGATTATAAGATCATAAAGATATATAAAAAAGGAGAGTACATGCAAAAGGTGGTAGACGGATAAGACCGGGAGTTCAAGAAGGAAAATAAAACTGGAAAGCGTAGATACCAGAGCGGTATTTATGAACATTTTAATTTGTGCCATTAATGAGTTACAAAAAGGAATAATAGATATTTTTTTTTGTTGAAAGTCTGAACAGTTATATTTATAGTCATAGTTTAGTTCTTAATAATTTTACCATATCAGGCTAAATTTATAGTCTAGCTTAATCAATCAAGTTTTGGATTTTGTAAATTTTGTTTGACAACAGTTTTGAGTTTAGTAGGTGTAGTAGGGTAGTTTGTAAGTTATTTTCTTCAAGATATTTAATATCTGTTTAATTTTTCCTATGATGATTTGTTAAAATTAAACTATAAGTTAATTTTTTATAAGAGTTTGTTTATTTAAGCATTTTTATTTCTCAGTATAACAAAATACAGATAATTATCAAAGTTTTTTTTTTCATCTACGACCATTTTTGCATAATTCCAAATAGATTCTACAAAAAATTAAAATCAAAATAAAATCAAAATAAAATCAAAATTAAATCAAAATAAAATCAAAATAAAATAATAAAATCAAAATAAAATAATAAAATCAAAACAAAATCAAAATAAAATCAAAATAAAATCAAAATAAAATCAAAATAAAATCAAAATAAAATCAAAATAAAATCAAAATAAAATCAAAATAAAATCAAAATAAAATCAAAATAAAATCAAAATAAAATCAAAATAAAAACAAAATAAAATCAAAATAAAATCAAAATAAAATTAAAATAAAATCAAAATAAAATCAAAATTAAATTTGACGTGATTCTTGAAACTACCCCTGAGAAATAGGAAGAAAGGCGTTCGACGGGCAATATAATAGAGGTTATGTTCATTGAATAAACAACAATATATAATAAAAAAATTTATAACTGTATAATTGTAATTAAAAAATATTGCTTAATTATATATACTTTTTATATATATTTAATAAAATTTTGTAGAAACTATTTTTGACTTTTATTTTAAGTAGGTAAAAAGAAAAGAGAAGCAGAAATATTAATCATAAAAAGAAATTATTTTTGTTAACGTAGTTTTGGTTGAAATATGCTATCATGGTACTCCAAACAGATTCCAGCTAAAGGTTATTGTATATTTAGCTGTTAAATACTGAAAACAACGCTTTTTTATGTTTGATAGATGACATTGCCAACGTCATGTGTCAAGCATACTTTAGATAAAAAAAAAACGTCGAAAAAACAACGTTTATCAGAAGTGGAGATAGCTGAATAGTGTAAAGCGCATACAATTATTGTAGTAAATAACTATAAGATTTAAAATAAAATCAAAACCGCTATTATACCGTTCGACTATCTTCACTTTTTTCTTTAAAATAAAACAAAATAATTTTTACAACAATCATTTATTTAAATCATAAATTACAGAAATTTTATAAAAATAAATGTACTCCCTTAAAGCATGGTTTAACAAATCATTTGAAAGTATATCGCACATTGAGCATAGGATCTTGGACACCAATGCTTTTTAAATGGAAAACGTGTAGTTCACTCTAGACAGTAGAGTGCGGTATGGGCATTTAAGTAAAGATTGGACAAATATTGCTAATAATTTAAATGAGGGAAAGTTATTTGTAATAGGGTAAAGTCAACATTGGACAATGAAAATAAAAATATATTTTGTTTCAAAATTATATTTTTAAAGTAACAGTATTACCCAGATAGCACACGACGTCTGAAAGACGTCTTTTTTGTGTCTTGGTTTGGTCTCAATGTCCTAGGACGTTATTAAGACGTCTTATAAGACGTCTTTCAAAAGCCATAATTCAGACGTATTAATGTGAGAGCTCAAAGACGTTCTTAAGACGTCTTGCTAAATCCATATATTAATGTGAAAGCTCAAAGACGTCTTTAAGACGTCTTACAAACGTCTTTCAGTCGGACGGAAACTTGCACGGTTTACATAATTCAAATTTAACAAGAAGAATCAAATGAAGTGGAGTTTGACGTTTGATTTAACATTATATTCAAGCCGGACTTACGATTCGGACACCATCGTGGCAATATTGAAATGGCGTTCTTCGAATCGGGAGCCAAGCAATCCCATAAAAATCACAAAATATCTAGTATAAAAGTGACCATCCGAATTTAAAAAGTATAAAAAATTAAACCAAATATTCAATTTGGAGAAGATAATTGAAATCAAATATCAAGTGCAGTGGAAAAGTGAAAAGATTAAGCCCATATAAAACGAAGAAATGCATTCAAGCCCAAGCCAAAAATTTGTATGGCCCAAGCTCATTGAGGATTATTGATTATTTTATTGCGTACACGATTATAACCACCAAAAGCGACTTATTTGGGCTATTTTGAGCATTTGTGTCTCTTTCTACTTAAATACATAATATGGAACAAAAACCAGAGAGGGAAGAATAGTTTGTATTACCGATGTAGCACGTTCCTGGAATACAGGTAATAAATGAATATGTTTATATACATAGAACATTAATATCCTGTTTCTTCTAAGAATATTTAAATTAATTTAAAAGTAAACATCTTAATATAAGATTTAATTCAGATATTCGTCAAGCATCATTTTTGTTTGTTTTTATGGAGATTTTAAGAACTAATAATATCAAAAACTCCCTATTAGATAGCCATTTTGAGTGAAGTTAAAGTAAAATTGTTAAAGTAGGCGATTAAGCATAATAGCTCATATTGCATTAAATGATTATAAAAATTCTTTGATTAGAATTCTAAGAAATAAATTTTTTGTTTTGCTTTATAGATAACTGTTCTGTCGGTTTTTACTAACTTTTGCAAAGTATAATTTTCTGTGACTAGATGCTCTTAACTAAATTTCTTTTTAGGATCTATACAAAGGCAACTACAAATCAAAGAGAAAAATCAATCCAGTTATGTCTAAAGAGGAGTAATCGAATGCACTACAAAGAAAATAACTCTTAGTGACCTGTGATTAATAGATGTTTTATCAATAAATATTTTAATTCTATTTTTTGCATTACTTTATAATCTGCAAGGTTGTTCTACTTTTTAATTACCAAGATATCCGACGTCCTACGTTCATAAGACATCTTAAAGACGTCTTATTTATGGCTTCACAAGACCATTATAAGCTATTAATAAGTCGTCTTATTTATGGCTTATTTAAAGCTTCACAAGACCATTATAAGCCATTAATAAGACGTCTTTTTTAAGGCTTCACAAGACCATTATGTCGTCTTAAAGACCTCTTATTTATGGCTTATTTAAAGCTTCACAAGACCATTATAAGCCATTAATAAGACGTCTTAAAGACATCTTATTTATGGCTTATTTAAGGCTTTACAAGACCATTATAAGCTATTAATAAGTTGTCTTAAAGACGTCTTATTTATGGCTTATTTTAAGCTCTACAGACCAATATAAGCCATTAATAAGACGTCTTAAAGACGTCGCTTTTTGTAACAGACGTCTTCTAAGACGTCTTAAAGACGTCTTTCAGGAAATACCAGACGTCTTAAAGACGTCTCGAATGTCTTATGCTAGACGTCTTAAAGACGTCTTTAAGACGACTTTGTGCTATCTGGGTAAGTATTGTGATGTTTGTTTATTTTCAAACAACAGTTTATTTATTAATAATTTATTTAAACACTTATTTATTTTAAACAATACTATTTTAATTTATATATACTTCGAATGTCTTTAAACTGATCACTATTTATATTCACCACT